AAAAAATTAATAGAAGTAAAGTTAATAAAGGTGTAATAAAAATGTAAGTTAAAAAATTGAAAATATATATAATTAATAATTGTCAATTTCGTCGTCAATAATTGTTAATTTCGTTCGAGTCTAAGGAAAGTAGTAGTGAAATAACTTCACAAACAAAAAAAATTTAGATCACGAACGCTTTTAATTTATTCTTTTCAAATTTGAAGATTTTTTTCATATTGAGATATTGATTCATTTTCATAATTAGCATAGTAATTAGCATAGATTAAATTCGTCCTAACTGTCCCAAACAACTATTATAAATTCACAATAGTTATAAAAATCGCATATTAAAGAACAATTGAAGAACTACCTTAAGAATTCTTTTTTTTATTTGATATAAAAGTCTGAAAAGTAAGTTATTTTGACTTCTATGATTTAGGGTTTTTCTAAGAGTTTAGTGTTATTTAGAGAGATTAGTGTTATTTAGATAAAATAACGAAATATTTATGGACGTGTTGGAAAATATTGTTCAACTTTTATCCATTTATTTGTTAGATTTTTTACCTTTCGGCTCTTTGTGTCAATTCAACAGTTAAAAAAAATCGGACCCAACCACTTAAAGTTTGCAATACAAAACTCATTATTTACACAGTTACCACATAAGAGCACTAAATAACTTAACCCCTTGGGGACGGTTGAGTCAGAAAAGCATTCGTGCAAAATCAGAATCAAGTTGTAATTAAATAAAAAACGGTAACTTAAATGTAGTCGTTGCTAATTTGACATACTTACTTTGCTTTTACTTTAATTATTGTCAGTTTAATCATATATATAATCAATGTTAGTTCAAAGTATAACTAAATAGTTTTATTTTGAACCAATTAATGGTGAATTAAATAAATCAAACATTTATAACTCCGCCCACAAATAAACTGCTAAGAAATTACTTTGAGTACCAGTTTTATCTTTTTACCCTGGTTGATACAGTTTTATGCTGGCACGTATTTTTGACAGTCGGCCCGAAAGCGTTAAAAAAGAACTGAGATGCTTCTTAGAAATATATAATAATGACAATGTAAGATTCTTCGATTAACCCTTTAATGGGCCCCTTATTTCTAGAAAAGGTAAATTAAAGTATTTTTGGAATTGAAATTGTTTGATTACCCGGTTCATTAGCTTGAAAATGTTGTAGAAGAGTCTTTACAAAATAGGTTGTGGCTGAAGAGCAAGCGAAACCCTTAGTTTTGAAACTAGTTTGGTTTTCAATTAAAAAGGAAATGCTTTATAAGTTAATGTTTTTGATGCTAGAATATCATCCGGGATTCTCTGAAAAATGTTAACAAAATCATATAATCATCAGTGTCAATAATCAGTACAAGAGCATTCAAATGTAGCAATTGATTAGAGACAGCGAAAGTAATAGATTATTGATACGATCTGATTATAAACACAGATTTCAAAAATCTTTACTGTGAGGAACCTCTTTTACCTTTCAACGGAATTCTAGGATTCCGCGGAACACCGTTTGAGAATTTCAGTGCTACAGATCTTGTTTGAGCCATAAGTATTTTTGATTTTAAATCCCCTTTGTTTTAATAGAGCATACATCATAGAAAAGGCAAAATGAACGAGTCATCGGAACAAAGCGCATATAGGAGGAGCAGTAAGCATATTTTCTAGAAGCCAAGATTAAAGAAAGTAAAGATTTTTGATAATGATAATTGAAAAGCATAGTAACAGCATCAGCGTTATAAGCAATTATCTACACATTTTCAAATTTTTGAACAAATAAGATATAAGTTTTAGGGTTCTTATGTATATTTTTTAAAATTAATTAATGGTAACATAAGAGCCGTGGTGGCTCAGGTTATAGATCGTCTGCCTTACAGTGAGGTGTCCGAGTTCAAATCCCAGCTATGGCTGATCAAAACAAATTCAGCACCAGACTGACACAAACAAAAGTGCTGACATAAAATATCCTTTGCGGTAGACAGATCATGGGTTAGAGTTCCCTTGCTGTTAGTCTAGCCGTGGGAGGCTTTCGAAATTTTCCTCACCTTGTAACGCAAATGCGTGTTAGTTCCATCAAAATGTCATCAGCAAAAGCAAATTTCTTCTAATTCCTGATCCAGAAGTTCCCTTGTCTTATAGATTGGGTTCAAAATTACAAGGCTACGGAGTTGAACATTAGTCGTAATTCTAAAATTGGGTCGGCAATTCAACAATGGTTAGAAAATTTAAAATAGCAGTAACATTAAATTGAAATATTTTAGAAAAATAAAAATGCAAGTTTAAAAGCATACGAACAACATGTCCATAATGGGAAAGAGCCCCTAGCAGCGTAGGATGACATTTCCGGTCATGACATCCTTGATAATTCATATCCCTTATGATGTACCCTACTCCCCTTGGACGTTTGTAGCAACATTTACGGGACACCCTATCATGTATATATATATATATATATATAAATTTTATTACCGAAAATAAATCTTCGCATTAAAAATTATTTAT